AGGCTGACGGCGGGTCTGGGGAGAGGGCTGTCCTCTCCTCATGGATCTCAACCAGACAATGCATATCACTTTCCTTAGCCCCACCCCTCAAAGCCCTCCCCTCCACACCAAAACAATGACATAAGTAAAACTGAAAGAAACAACTTTGGTATTCAAAAACACTTAGGTTATCAAAAAATCGGAAGATTGCCATTTTTCCAGTATTAATGCTTTGTTTAATGCCATTGTTTTGTTTTTTTTCAATACAAATGCTTCACTGACAGTGTCTGCATTTTCAGTTACATTTTTTTCTTCCAGTTAAGGTTTTATTTTCAGTGCTAACCTTTATTTTTCAGTGCCAAAAACTAAAGTCATTGATCTGGCGCCATAATCCTGCAGACTGTGGAGTCAGCGATCATTTGTAAAGCACAGGGCTCTGAACTGCAGGCATTATTACTGGTTGTTGTCGTTTTAGGATACATGAATGTGAGGTATTTATTTCACTTGTAAAATGTTTTACACGTTACTCGTGTCCATAAAAAGGCTTTTCTTCTTTTTAATGGAGACAGTTTGTGGTCAACTGAAAATAATACGGGGCATATGTTGTTATTGGCCAAAGGAACTAACAAATAGGTACAAACAGATGTTCTCTGTTGTCTTTTCTGTATGGGACCATTAAAGAGTTAAGTGAGCGCAGGTGTGACTGTTGAACCTACACTGCTGCTCACCTGGAGACAGAAATACAGGCCTCTAGGGATATTTGTGTATGTAATAACATTTATCTAATTTCCTTCTTAAGAAACCGAGTGCGGTCACACCAGAATTTAACGTGAATATTCCCGCCACCTCCACTCGCCGATGAAGACTTGTCAGAAACACACAAGATGCTAGATTCGCCCAACACATTCTGAACTTCCATACTAAAATCGACCTTTTTCATCCGCAACGTTAAGGATTGGGTGGCGGGAGGATTGGGATCATCTGCAAGGCAAGATGATCTAAAAATTCATGCTTTTCTATCGAAGTTCAAAACATCCTGAGACAGTGTTGCCTATTTATTATTCTTAAAGCATAACACACTTTTGTAGATGAATAAACTGTGATAAACTACATTAAATACATTTAGTTTTCGCTGGGTTTCCCGCTTTCCGGCCTATCAGAAACCGGATGTTCTGAAGCTTCGTCCAATCAGATGCGATGTACGAAGCTGGTTGCGCAGGAGCTGAACCAATCACAAAGCAGAGAGGATCCGGACGATCTGCCTCCTGCCGCCTCTCTGCCGCAGCGTCTCATCCACTCTGCCCAGCGACCTGCTGCTCCCTGCCGCTCCGTTCCGCTGCAGCGGTTGCTTACCGACAGGCTGTCGCGGCTCTACAGCTGGGGGATGTGACAGAGGTGCGGCGGCGATCACGGACCAAATCCTCATTCAGAACCGAACCAGGAGAAGCTGGACCATTCCGGGTCGAATCGTAAGTGTTTGGGTTGAAAAAAGTCTAGGTGATTTTAGTGGTAAAACGCTGAAACGCGGCGGGTGTTGTGTGTGACGGGCATGGGCCGAGTTTGTGTGTGTCCGGTGAATCTGCAGTGAATCTCCGTGCAGCACAGTTCACATTCAGTGTGATCCTGTGCATTAAGACCGGAACGATCACGGTTAATGCTCCGGTATCAACGTGTCCACTAGAGAGGGCAGGCGGTGACGCTGGTGCGGTGACAGGAAACACAACGCAGGCCTGAATATTTACTGCAAATTCTCTTCATCTTTC